GGAACCCAAGCCTGGGTTCCTTTGAACCCAGCACGCCTGGGTTCGATGGAACCCAGCACGCCTGGGTTCGATGGAACCCAGGCGCGGGTTCCTTGAACCCAGCACGCCTGGGTTCGAAGGAACCCAGGCGTGCGTGCTCTGTACTCTCTTATCTCTCTCTTGGCCTCTGATCAATGTAAGTATAAAAGCTCATCTTTGGTTTTCTGTTTGTTTGCCGAGAAAGTAGGTTGGAAAATCAGAGAAATTGTTGACTCGGGTATTTTAGTGTTTGAAATTTCATATTTGATAGTGATAATATACTCATCTAACTCCTTGTCTGCTTAAGTCTTATGTCTGTAGTCAAGACATCTGCTTGTTTTGCTGTTTCTGCAGATCTCGAACAACTGGGCTAAGGGCCATTACACTGAGGGAGCTGAGCTCATTGATGCTGTTCTTGATGTTGTGAGAAAGGAGGTAGAGAACTATGATTTGTCCCAGGCACTGGTGCTGGGTTCCTTCGAACCCAGTAGGGAGGGGAAGGAGAAAAGGAAAGAGAAGGAGAAAAAAAAGAAATTTTTATTTATTAAATTATATTTTTGGTGCCAAGTCACAATATTTTGAAGTTTAAGGGTAAATTTAGTTCAAAAATGAAAGTTAAGGGACTAAATCGAGGATTTAACTTTTTTTTTAAACCTTTAGTTAGCAGTGGGGCCCACAAATAAAATTGGTAACAGGCAAATTTCCCGCTAATGTGATTCCAAGTTGGCATGCCAAGTTGTCAAAAAAGTTTGAGGTGGCGCTGACATGTGCACACTTAAGGGAGGTCAACGGTGCACGTGTTACACGTGACGCTCCGACGTTAAATTTTGCCTCATTTCCTCAAACTCGAAAATATGGAGAGTAAAAATTCATGTATTGTAATATGGAGGGTAAAAACCCTCAAAATCGAAAAGTTAAGGGGTAAACGGGTACCTTTTGCCCTTCTCACCCAAAGCCAAAAACCTCACCAATCTTAAAATCTATTATCAAAGCAAACAATTCAACCTGAAATTCTGCGTCTTTGAATGCATCTTGCGTTTTCAGTCTATATTAAGATGGAATCAACTAGTTACACTACAAGAAAAATGATTTTTAGTGATAAAAACTTATTATAATTGTGACAAATTTAAAAAATTAGTCACAGATGCATACATATTTAATAATGAATAAAAAAATTCATCATAAAAAATATATTTTTTCACCGAAAAATGTTCATAAAGATAAAATAAGTTTTTATTGATAAAAATCGTCATTATAATGCATTACAATTATGACAGAATTTTAATATTGGTCACATATACCTTATACATTCAATGATGACTAAATAATTCATCACTAAAAATATATTTCGTCATTAAAAATTATCAATTTTCTTTAATCAATGCATCCTACATCGATAAAAAACAGATAAGAAAATAAGGTTTTGCACTATAAATATATCTCACATCGATGAGAAATATTTAAGAAAAAAAAACTTTACACTATAAAACATGTGAAGCTTAATAAAACTTGAGATTAGTTTGGGCTTGATTAATTTTAATTGAACTTGATTAATTTTAATCAAAATTGATTAATATT